AGAAAAAGGGATCCAAATACTTGCAGATCACCATGTTTTCCACTGCCGAAAGAAGATACATTGGAAACTCTGCATACTCTCTGGAGGTTCCTCCAAAATTCCCAGGGAAATTCAGGTAAGCTTGTCAGATGTGGGGGGAGTGCACTGCGGAAGCCAATTGGAGTTATTCCCTCGGGTGTACTGAATCAACTTGACGCGCCTGATGCGCCGGCCGCCTCGGCTAAATGCTGTGACCGCTTCCGTGTTACACGGCTGCCCGCGGCGATCACCCGGAACATGTATGAAATATGGATACCGTTTTCGATTCTCGTATATACCCCTGCGCTCCCGCAGGTTCGGCGCCCATCCGTTCCTTCTCCTTCCGGCGCTTCCACATCAGCTTCCCCAGACACTTCTCGCACAAGACGGCCTTGACGAGCGCAGACTTCTCCTTCCGGTGCTCGATGTACGCGAAGGGCAGTTCCAGCGTCGTGAGCGGTGGTGGTCGCCGACCGCGGGTGTCGTGGTGCTCACACCTGGTGTTCCCGCATGTCGTCTCACCTGCGCCAGCGAGAACTTCAGACTCGGTCCTCCATCGCAGAGAAAACTGAATACCAAGGAGTTAAGCAGAGAAATCTGAAGGACAAGTGGCGGACACGCACGTTGCCGGACTTGTAGTGCTTCAAATCACAGACGGCGTACTCGCGGAAGAGACTGTCGTAGTATTTGGACGCGAGCTGCTCGTCCCATGAAAGCTGCTGGCCCTTGTCGTCATCCTCACGTAGAAATCTGAAAGCTCGCGTTTAGCTGCGAGAATTGCCACCTCGACTTATTTTGACGAACTTGTGCGAGTCCTTCAGGATTTCAAACTCGGTCTTGCCAGGTGTGGGTAGCTTTGAGCTGCTTGGGTAGAGTGCCATCCTTGCGGTTCGGAAGATGATGAAGGGAGAAAGCAGGGAAATCCGACTCCCATCAGACATCATACGCTCCTGCTCTGGACCGTCATGAGCCAGTACGTTGTCCTCTCATTCTCGGCTGAAGACACTCACTACTGCAGAAATTTGAACAGAAATCCATTCAAAAGATTGAGCCGGGCTCAACTTTGAAAGTCCTTCGCCGCGAGTTTCTCCTCGGCAACGCTCTCAGCGGTCCAGTCTGGTGCGCCAAAGAAAAATGTCGCTGAGTTGGTCAACTCTGACGACAAAATAGCGCGTCTGCGAGCGCCCAATGGCGTATTGAGCCACCCAGAGCTCGAGCGGTTCGTGACCAGCGCAGGCGGTGCCTTCCGTCCAAGATATCGAACGCAATCTCGGATTGACTGGACACTCCAAGGGCCTTTCCTTTGGCCATGACACGGCACTGTCATCCTCCTGGCACTTCCACTGGTGTGGTATCGTTTCGAACGGCGCAGTCTTGACGACAATCTCTTGCCTAAAAGTCGGCAGCGACTCGACGGTACGTGGTTTGCGACCTCAACTCTCCGTACATGCGCCTCTTTCCGCCGTTTCAAGACGTGACTTCGACGCGGGGATCTTTCAGCTTTCTGGACTTATCAAGCCACTTGCAGACGATTACGATGCGTCTCTACTTGTAGTCCTACCGCTGGCCTATGGCAGACAGTGTTCGTCCTTCCGAGGCGCCTCCAGCGTTATTGCATCGTATCTCTACTTGTAACTGGATGCCCCTCACCTCCCATCCATAGTTATATACCCGAAGACATCATCCTCGACTCGCCACATATTTGCATTGTGCAATATGCATCACTTTCGCGCTGCCAAACCATCCTGCTCAAACCTCTAAGCTGAGGCTCTGCGACGCGACATATCACTCACCGAGTCAATTAACGGCCCCCCCGAAAACAACGGTTCAACCATGTTGAATGCCTCTCAGGCTCTCTGAATGCTAAGCATGAATCCGGCGCCAACTCGATGCCCTGCGCACGACCCATATCGGCATTCCTCGTCCAGTCTTCGTTCGGCCTTCCTCAGCTCAAGGCCGTCCCAATTGGCTTATTCCCAACAAGCTACCACCAAGTACTCGCGACCAACGCGGCGACGAAAATCGCCTGCCCCACCCAACCCGACGACGGCCCAGTAGGAAAACGATCCGCGTCGAGCAAAAAGAATAGAATATCACACCTCGCATAACACCCGACGCTGAATCGAACCAGGGCTTCCTGCTTCCAGTAATTCCAGCGAAGTAGCAGGTTATTGAGTGGGCATCTTCTCGCACGCGTCCATTGCCAAGTACGGAGTTCATCTTTCTTGGCAGCGCTGTATTCAGACTCTAATAAATGACATTCGTGGTAACACAAGTCTTCTGCAGCATACACTGAGACGGCTCAACCGACCCAGGAATGATTTTCCAGCAAGAGATAGGCGTATCTTGACCTGAATCACTCGGGAGGTCGTGCACTTGCAAACCTCAAAGCATGCCTTGTAGAAGTCGTAGGGGTAAATGTTTCGAGCCTCCAAGAGGCTGCCCAATTCTTGCCATTCTAGCACGACTGACGTGAACGGCCTCAGAATCAAAGGAGACTTTCTTCCAGTCGAGGCACGTACCGTCGTTCATAGCCTCGGACTCTCCGTTTCTCTCGTATTCCACCGTGAATATTTGCGGCGAGGAGAAAGCCAATGAATCCCTGCTCCTGGTAGACCCTTCCTTTCGACTGGTGGGTTTCGAACCGGTTGTCCGGTCGTAGTAATGATCACAGCTCGACGGCGATGTTTTACCTCGAGCTGCCTCCATCGCTTGGACGAAGTCTGGGTGGGATTTAATGTGGGCAAGCAGCTCGGCAGGACTGTCGTCCTCGGAGTTCGTTCCGTCAATTATATTCGCCCGCCAGATTTTGTCGGGAGCAGGGGAGGGCAGGTCTGGCACCGCAACCTCATGTGCTTCTTTCAGAACAAGCTGCTTCGTGACAAACACGGTTGCCTCAGCGAGTGAGTAGTTGTTGAGAAGTGCACTATGAAGAGAAGGTTTGCTGAGGTAACAGGAAAGACTGCAGCAGTAAGAACACACTGGATCAAGAAATTTCTGGCTTGGAATAAGGCCTCATCTTGCGCTTCACCCGCGAAGTAGATTCTGGAGGATCTGCACTGGTGAGTGTACATTGTGGGAGAGGAAGTCGGGGGCAGCCCATCCTTTGTTGAAGGGCTACTTATGCCGCAAGAACAACAACAACAAGAACAATTGCACAAGGCAACGAGGCAACAACTGGCAACAAGGTCAATCGTTGTCTAACCACGACGGCGGTAAAAGCGTGAAGCTGTGCGTTTGGAGTGTACGTGTTTTGGACAAAGACAATGACTATTTCTGGACAAGGAAACAAGGCTGACATAAGGTTTCGAACCGTGGGAATCTTGGAACGGTTCAAGTTCAAATGCCACTTCGAGGTAGACCTCGATAACCGAGGCCACTCATATCGCCTTGCAAACCATCCGATGCTATATGAGTCTCAAGGACTTTTTCTAACCGAGAACAAGTGAGCCCCCGTTTGACCGAAATATTTCCCACGGTTGAGTAATGCATTACATTACTCCTTCCATCCCATCTCTTGAAGGTGGTCTTTGTATTTGGCATCAAGAAGTCAGTCAAGATCAATAATTGCTCCAGAACTCTATTCAGTCCTTGTTCTCTTGGCTTGTTCTTCTGCCGCCACATATGTTGTTGATACGCACAACAACACTTTTGTTCTCCCTGTCCTTGTTCCTCAAGCTATAAGTACTAGTCCGGAGTACACAAAATTAAGCACCAGCATCCGAAATGCCATCAGCTCTCCACTGCTGTGCAATCTACGTGACTGGCAAAATCGAAGCAAACCCACTTACTCGAGCAAGGAATTACCTGATGTTGTATGTGTAGCTGTGCTTGACTCTCCCTCTCACTCATAGTGCCTAGTGCAATCTTAGCCAAGGGGTTATCACTCAGAGAGGCAGTTGATTTCCTGGAAGAACCAAGCTCAAGGAACACTATTTGGGTGATGCCCATTGCAAGTGGGGACCAAATCTGGTGGAAAATGTGGGAGAAGTCAGCAGAAGAAACAGGCTGTACACTCGAATGCGTTCTGGAGCTACAGCCACAAATCCGTGTGTTTCCCACGGGCCAGGTTCACAGTTGGGTCAAGCCAGAAGGTGTGTTTGTTGTGCAAACTCAAACCGGGTAGCCCTTAACATCAAGAGTATCAAAGAACTTTGGTCTCCAGGGCTGAAAGTGTGGGATTCACAGACGAGCCTGGAGCAAGGAGTGGAAAAGTGTACGTGGAGTGGCTGAGCAAAGACTGTAAAGTTTCGTGAGTTCTGACGTGTTTCCGCGGATAGATGTTCTCTACACGGTGGTCTTGAAGGCCTTCTTGGATGAACAGAAGATCTCTGTGGAGGACTTCGAGATTGCCTGCGGGGCTGTTCATGCTAAAACCTCACACACTTTTGACGCAGCCAACACATCACTGCACACTGTTGATGGGGACTTGGGACCATGGCTCGATCCAGATTATTACACGGTTTTCGAAGTCAAAAGGAACGAGAACTGAAGGAATGATATTGGTACTCTCAGTGGTGGGACATAGATACAGAAGTACCTACATAATATAGAGACCAACTCACCCGAGATCATTCCCACGGTTGAATTTTCTTGGGGATGTCCCACACATGTGGTGCTTGCAGCTTGAAGTTGAAGAAAAAAGGTTACCCATAGAAACCAGGGAATTGTGTGGTAACCATCTGATGGCACATGGTGTGAAACTGCTTCAGCTTCAGCTACTCCAATCAAAGTCGTAAGCAGGAGGACCAGGCGGGAGTTGGACATCTTTTTTTCTTATTTGTTGTGCGATGCTTCCATTCATTCTTCGCATACCAATTTTATGTACGAGGTCCGAGACCAGGATTGCCTGTAGGTGTTGTGAGGAAGGAAGCTAAGCCCGGAGACTCAAGTTTCAAACAATGTTTTGAAGTTTTCTTGTCTGCTCATATTGCCTAAAGGATCCTAGTCATACTTCAGGAAGGAAGGGATGAAGTGGTAGCCACTTGATAGCACATGGTGTGTGCCTGCTTCAATTACCAGAGGAGACGCATGTAACGGCAGGAGGCCCCGGTTCGATTCCGGGTCGGGTGATGGGTGCAACTCTACGAATTTTTCCTCCTGTTGTGCGATACTCTCATTCATTCTTCATCCACTGATTTCTTGCATGAGATTCCAGTCCGGGACAGCCTGTAGGTGTTGTTACATGGAAAACGATGTTGAAGTTTCTTAATTCTCGTCTGCTCATATTTGCTCGGCAGAAGGAGGATTCAAGGCAGATACTTGTGAAGGGCGGGAAGAAAGGAGGTAACCACTTGATAGCACATGGAGTGCACCTGCTTCAATTATCACTTGACGCTGGTGGAAATGGTAAGCAGGAGGTCCTGGTCGGGTGATGGGCTGGAGAGCGGGCTTTTTCTTTTCTTTTCTCTATCGCGCAACCTTGTCCACCGTCTTTGGAGCAGCATTTTGGACAAGAAGGAACGCAAGATAATGGGTTCACAATTTCAGCACAACTATGTGCTTGGTTGAAGTTTTCTCGTCTGCTCATATTGCCCTGGAAGGATCCTAGTCATACTTCAGAAGGGAATAGACTAGAGAAGGTAACCACTTGATAGCACATGGGGTGCGCCTGTTGGAAGTTATCCGTCGTCATAATTTAAGCAGGAGGCCCCGGTTCGATTCCGGGTCAGGTGATGGGTTTGGACGAAAGAGCTTTTTCCGTTGTGCGATACTCTCATTCGTTCTTCATCCACTGATTTTGTGTACGAGTTCCAAGACCAGGATCAATATTGTTGTTAACAGGCAGGAAGGAAGGTAGAATTTTAGCCGTAGTAGTTCAAGTTGGTGTTTTCTCAGTGCTGTTCATACATTGTGACATTGCTGAATCAGAAGCGGTATTGTATCTAGTGAAGGCAGGGAATGAAGCATCTACTCGATGGTACATGGTGTGCACCTGCTCCAATTACAGAAGAATATATGATGAGCGGGAGGTCCCGGTTCGATTCCGGGTCGGGTGATGGGGGCTGATGAATAATATTCACACCGCAAAAAGAGAAAAACAGGTCCGGCTGATAACGTTCCTGAAGTGTTCAGTTTAGGCTACAAACGAAGTTCAGCCAAAACTGTGGCTGAAACCATTGAATTCGCTCAGTCCAAATTGTTGGCGAAAGCTGCAGGTTCGGCAGCGGTTTCAGCCGCGCTGATGGCACCGGTTTCGGCCACAGCTTCGGTCGGCTTGAAGGCGAAGCCAAAAGTTGTAGTTTCAGCCACGCCTTCAGACAGCACAGTACAATTGGATTCAGGCTCAGTTCTGGCAAGGAAGCCCAAACAATAAGTTCCAGCCCGGCCGAAACCATGTTCTATTGTTTTCAGCCCGGCCGAAACCGGTAAGATAATGATTTCAGCCGGCACAAAACTATTGTCTTCGGCCACATGCTGAAGTGGGCCCGAAACTAGGTGTTCCTGCTGATCCGAGGATGCAGCTGAAACCAATGGTTTGAGCACCATATTTAACTGGGCCTCAATTGTGCCTGAAACTAAAAGAATCTGGCAGGCTGATTTTGTTACCGAAGCTGCTGACTTCGGCAACATTTTCAACTCGCGGAATTCAACGATTTTGGACACAGTTTCAGCCCGATTATATCTGTGCCCTAAACTGCTGATTTCAGGAACGTTTTGAACCTAGCTGATTTTTCCCTTTTTACGGTGTGATTTTTTCTTCCTTGTCACTCTGGAAAAAGGGATGTTTCAGGGCTTATGAAGATGTAACTGAAATCTTTCACTTCGGTAACGATTTCGGACACACTGAAACTATAGCACTGAAATCATTCGGCCCGCCCCGGACCGCCCGGACCGGCTAGTTTCGGGGCGCCTGAAACTAATAGTTTCCGTGCGCCCTGAAACTATTTCAGAAACTAAAGATTTCAGTTACATGTTCAGAAGGCCTGAGAAATCCCTTTTTCTGGAGTGTGTTGTGTGATACTCTCATCCAATTTTCACCCACCAATTTTTGTACACGAGGTTTCAGTCCCGCACTGCTGGGCCCTGTAGATGTTAAGAGGAATGAAGCTGATTCAGAGAGAGAGGGACACAATGTTAAAGTTTTTTTATAATAATTCTTGCCTGCTCATAATGCTCGGCGGAAGGAGGAATGCAGGTACTGGTGAAGGAAGGGAATAAAATGGTAACCCCTTGATAGCACATGGTGTGCACCCGCTTTCAATTACAAGAATTATCAATGATGAGCGGGAGGTCCTGGTTCGATTCCGGGTCGGGTCGGGTGATTCGAAAAGGTGGCAACAGTTTTTTTTCCTTTATCACGCAACGCACTCATTCAATCTTCATCATCCACGGGCCGTCTCTGGAGCAGGATTTTTGACAACGAAGGAAGGCAAGATGATGGCTACACAATTTCAACACAACAAGTATTAAGTTGTGTTGAAGTTTTCCTTGTGTGCTCATTATGCTCGGCAGAAGAAGGATCCAAGCCATACCTCAGGAGGGAATAGAATAGAGGAGGTAACCACTTGATAGCACATGGTGTGCACCTGCTTCGGTTGGTCCGCCAAGTTGAGTTGAATTATAAGCAGGAGGTCCCGGTTCGATTCCGGGTCGGGTGATGGCGGATAGTCGAACATGTTCAATTTTTTTCCTTGTTGTGCGATGCTTTGTGACGTGAAGTTTCAGGGAATAGTACTAGTACTACTACTGGATTGCAGTTGTTGGTAAGTAGGAATGAAAGATGAACCTAGAGACGGACACAATTTAGATTCAAATGATGTTGAAGTTTTGTTGGTGCGTAAGGAAGGAGAATGCAAGTACTTATGAGGGAAGGGAATGAATGGTCATCCACTCGATGGTCATGGCTTGCGCTTGCTGAATGTATTTGTCCCTCATGGGTTGTTAGTAGGAGGCCCCGGTTCGACTCCGGATCCGGGTCGGGTGTTGCCTCGCTGAAGACTTTTTTTTTTGGTTCGACACCAGTTTGACTTCTGAAACCAGTGTTGGTTAGCACTCCGTTGGGCTCAACCAACTTTATTGGGAACAAGCTACTCAGGACGCTCTCATGTACGGCGGTAGTAGACTATTAGCAGCAGTTGACCATGGAGGGAATGCCAATTCAGAGTAGGGTGTGTATAGGATTTGGGAGTTAATTGACGGGTGCTGTAGACAGACACAGGTAGTGCCGAATTGCAGTCCTCGCGAGAGTATTTGCCATATGCGATCCTTGTCGGCCGTCGAACCAATCGCCTGTGTGGGAGACGCCGTCCTGCAGAGCCTCGAGTCAAGTCAAGCAGAGTGAGTCAAGCAGGGTGGTTTGCATGGAAACAAAGGTGGTGGTGGTGGTGGTATTGAATGTACATTACAGTCTGAGTGACAGACATAGCAAGACATTGAGTGAAGGGAATTTAAAGGCGATTGAAGTTAAAGAATTGCTCTCCCGCGGTCGCGCGCGGCATACACTGTACAGATACAGCCTGGAAACCAGTTTATCTTGAGTTCGGAAGCTGATAAATAGCGCATACAAGGAATCCCCCGAACAGCCGCCCGTTTGCAGTAAATGAGGAGATTAATGCGCGATATGGTGGCGTGAGTGCCATTTTGAGACCCTCGGAAGCGGGTAAGAGGACGAGCAAGGCGCTAGTGCGTGTATCAAGGAGAGAGTGTCGCCGGTGAGACCGCAGTGCAGTGGTGGTCGCGGTCCAGTGGTGGTGGTCGTGGTGGAAGGGAGAGAGAGAAGCGTGTGAATATTGACGCCAATCAAATCATCCAGATCGTTCTCCTCGTCCCACCATTTTGAGACGCACCACGGAGGAGAAAACACGACATGACATGAAATACTGGACGCACGAAAGACAGAAGTAGTACATGAATTGGAGAAAAACTCGAAAATCTACGGCCCTCGCTCGACTCGACTCAGAAAAAAGAAAACTCCCGCCTGCTGCACCGACGGCCTTGATGAGGCCGCCATCCCCATCGCCCTCGACATCGAGACTCCCCCGCCGAAATGGTCCTTTCAAAATCGGTCTTCAAGCGCTGTGGGCCGCGGCGCAATCACAGAGTAGCCAGACCGCCCAGAACGTGATCGTCAAGGCCAGACCTCCACCACGGGAGCGTACTCGAATCGAGGAACCAGCGAGCGTCCTAGGGAGACAGCTTCTGTCCGACGTGTGCCCTGCCAGTGAGGCTGCTCGTACTGGGGAAACTGCTCCCCTCTCCAGCTAGTCTCCCTGTGGACGCGCTCCTGCCGCGCGCGTTCCTCCTCCCCCTGCCCGCGGTGAAGCCAGCAATACGAGTAGTTTCCGCCTGGGTTGTTCTTGCACTGCTCGTACTTCTTCGTCAGGGCGCAGCAGCGGCCGCTCTCAGCGTGCGCGCGGCGCTGGGCTGGCGTGATACGTGCGGCGCGGGGGTCGAGCCACCTTGCCTGCTCCTGATGCGCCGTGTAGAATCCGGGCGTGGCCAGGCGCGCGGTGCAGCCGCCGCCGCTCGGGCTGAGCCCGAAGCATTCTCTTGTCGCGTGAGTATAATAGCTCGGGGGCGTTGTTATCGTCTGCGGAGTATGCTGGGGTGAACGGGCCCAGCCGCCGTTGGAGTATGCGGAGGTAGACATCGAATATGTTTGAGTTGAAGATCGCGGCGTAGACGGCCTGGTCTGTGTCTCGCGGTGGTGCGGTGCCCGTATGTCGTGGGGAGAACGAAAGGGAGCTTACTTGCAGACACAAAGAGCGGCCAATCAAGTACCGTGTTTCCTCTTCGGTCCTGATTACCCCACGCACCTCGAGGCATTTTCGCTTTGATATCCTTTCGCGTCGTCTACCCAGTCCAGTTCTCCTCTGATCCATTTACCACAAAGGACCGAATTTCTCGAAGCCATCCAGCTGCGTCTGTGCCCGCCCCGATTAGCGCGATGGTGCTGCGATGAGGAGAATGAAGGAGTCACGAACGCGAGGCGTCACGATGTGACTGGACGCGTACTCTACGGGAAGCGGGGGAAAAATTGGCGCGTACAGACCTGCGTTTCCTTTCCTTCGACGACTTTGTCATAAACGAGTGGTTATTCATCTTGACGGCCTGCTGTATCTTCCATATTA